ATGTGACTTGAGGCAAAAATTCTGACAGGCCAGTCTCAAGCGACAAACAAAATATAGAGGATATGGTGCATGGACATATTGAGGACAAACGTCCTATAATGGCCTGAGTGCACTGGGCACACTATCGTGATAGCCGCCAAAAAATAAGTACACTAATTACGCCATGAGTCGGGCACCGATAACTCATAAGTAAAATTGGCACTAGTCAGACTATAAGAGAAAAATGCCTCACTCGTCACTATATATTACAACGACATAAGTATGCACTTAGGAATTCCTAAAATCGTGAAATTATCAGCCCAGTAGGCCTGCGGCCTTAATGACTGCACCCCTGATACTTCGAAACAACTTTAAGTTGCCTAAATCATTTAAGTGAACTCCATCCGGCAAGTAAATGTTTTCCCGGGAGTTCCAGAAACCCCTGTGTTTCCAGTACAAGTAGTAAGGTATTGGTTCGAGAACAGCCTTAAGATACAAATGAAGTTTGGTAACTTTTAAATTGTACGCAGCACACTGAGGGGAGTGCCGCCGAATAACTTGGCATACTGCAATGCTTTTCACATTAAACTCGTCGTGCAGATATCGCACTAAAGTTTCAAGCTCCGAACCGACGGTTTGTGCCGGCAGTTTGGTTAAGTCGTTAGAACCCAGCTCGAAGACTATAATATCAGGACTTAGACGGCGAATTATGCCTAAATCAAACTTCCGAACCTTCGCAATTGTGCGGCCACCTACACCATGAAAACGTATGGACCCCAGAGATGAGAGTTTGGCCATGAGGTGTTCGTGCCCCCTTTTCTGCAAAAACCCAGCAAGACGACGAATAAAGGAGTGTCCCAAGATTAAAATTTCAGGTGGCGCCATGTACCCAACAACAATAAGACGAAAATAAAAAACAGGACAAAATGATGAAACTGGCCTTTTTGTATTTTTGAAGTGTTCCGTGTGTGTAATAAGCTTATTTCATCCGCGCGTTTGCGATCGAGTTTGAGTATTGAATTAAACTTACAACAGATTCGTTCAGAGTACTGCATGCAGTTGACAGTTTGAATTAAGGACAAAAAGAGTAAAGCAATTCCTTATCAAGTAGACATTTGCAGACGATATTTCTTTGTTTGCCAGTTGAAAATCGTGTTTTACTTTTTGCATGAATTAAAGCAAAAAAGTAGTGACGTCACTGGACGGCATTAACGGTCGATCGATTCAGACGTTACTGAGGGAGTAAAAAAGACTCGAATATTCGTTTGAAATTCAGGCTATTAAAACATCCATATAAGATAATTCAATCGCTGGAATTGAATTGCTTACGTTGAATAATGTAACTGATATGAACGCCTCTTGGGGTTTTGATTTTTGGTAAGGTACAAAAAGACTCTATTGTACGGGTGCGACACTTCTCCTAGTACTTCGTGCTACTTGCTGTTTTAAGGAAGTGTAGGCCGCCTCGTTGTCAAAACAAATACTTTTCTCTGCGTTTGGGGGATTATTTAATAGCTTTTCCTTCAAAAGCTCAATTTTCACTTCCTGTATGAAGTCACGATAATTCATTTCTGTGCCATTGTAGACAACTCACATGAATCAGAAATAGTCTCATCTGGAGTGGTTACATCTCTTACACTTTCTCTTTTTATTGCCTCTTTATTTTGTTCATCACACATGCCTTTGCACTTCTAGCAGATTTGCACATTTCTCGTCGGTCCTTGTGGAAAGCCACTTCTCAGCGTCTGTAATGAGAGAATCCCTGCAGCTCCTTTTGTTTTTAGAAATCTCCATGCACCTACATTTTATGCAGTCCGGGTATCCAAAATTATTTGAACTTACTTGAATTTCGAAGTTGCCTTGGTCTTGTAACTTATTTAGTGAGAGGAAAAGCGCAGGAATGGGAAGGTTTTGCAATTGCCAAGAGCTCGTGCAATCAAAGAATGGCTTATTTTAATATTCTTTTTAATTTTCTCAAAAAATGATCACGATAAATATCACATCTTTAGCCATAATTGTGTGAATTTTATATCGAAGGATGTGGTCAATTGTCATGTGACGCCTCGAAATTCGCAGAAACAGCGTTTTATAAATTCTCTAAATGGTCTTTGAAATATGTGTAGAACTCTTTGAAACCATTTCTGGATCTATTAAATTGCATTATCTTAATGAAATTATCACGATAAATATCACATCTCTAGCCATAATTGTGTGAATTTTATATAAAAGGGCCAGGAGCCCATCATTTGATGGGCTCCTCAAAGGGCCTGGTCAATTGTCATGTGACCCCTCGAAATTCGCAGAAACAGCGTTATATAAATCATCTAAATGGTCTTTAAAATATACGTAGAGCCCTTTGAAACCATTTCTGGATCTATTAAATTTAAAATTGGGAAAGGAAAGAAAACTTCTTATTTAGACAGTGAAGTGATAAGGTAATGCCCCAAAACTCCACCTTAACACAAGCTTGAGATTGTCAACAGTAATTTTCGAAATCAGCGTACTCGGGTTGGTGAGAATAGCTATGTTGCCAAAAATCAGACAAAAATGCCCGTGGGTGTCACAGTTTGGTGGCCTGTGTAGAAGACATAGTATTGATCACGAGTTAATACTATGGTCCAGGTATTTTCTCGCCAGGAACCGGGAGAATAGATATTCAACATATACGCAATTTTACAGAACCGTTAATACGTAACAACCAGCCTCCCTAGTTTTTACAGCAGTAAAAAATAGTTAAGAAGTCTGGTCTGGCTCAACTTTACGTTTTATTGCTATTTGGTTTTAAACTGAGCAAGCAATATTCTTACCCCAGGGAATGTCCGTGTAACCTCCAAAAACGTATTTACCCCTTTTTATTATGGTAACTGTGTCTCTTTTTCCATCGCAACGTCTGTGAAACTGTGTACGGACATTCCAGCCGTGCAATGTAGCCCGCCAGCACAGTAGCCATTGGGAATTGTACCCAACCGCAGGCTCCAGAAATTTTCCCAGATGGGACAAATAAGAATAATTTGTTTTCAATATATTTGAGTCCATGAACGCTAAAAATAACAGAAAATAAAACAAAGACATCAACGATTGCAAAAAGAATTTTTTTTTGTGTTGTACTAGTTCCTTTGCTGCTGTAGCTACTGGTGTCTTTAATGATTGTACACGAAGGTGTGACTAAAAGCCCCTCATCGGTCCCAATGTCAGCTTTTTCCCTTAACCCAGAGACGCAAAGCTTCATTGAGGGGGCGGGGGTACATGTGGTGCTTTTTTTACTTACACAATTCTCGTGAATCGATTGTACTCAGTGTGTACTGGCAACCTTTAAGTTTAAAGTCATATCATGTCGGTTTTCAGACACCGAAATGAGAGCAGCTAATTAAAAGCTACTGAAATAATACTAATTTAAACACAAAATCAAACGTACAAACAGCCATGGCCCAGAATACCAGGCAGTTTAATTTTAAAGGCTGCACCGTTAATTTGCACTCTTAAACTCGACGGCCGGCAACAACGCTTTTCAACTTGGAATGTATTAATGTTGCGCAACAAGTTAAGCGAAAATGTTGCCTGTATTACTTGACCGTAAAGATCACGCCAAAACTTCATGTGCTTTTATCAAATTGAAACCTAACGAATTCCACAAAACTTTCTCGTTTCTCTTTTCTTTAAAATAGCTATCAACAAAAAAGGGGAAACAACCACGATATCAATGATGACGATAATGACAATGATTTCACCATTTGATAGACCCCGATCACACAGAGGCCTAGCTAGCGCCTTTTCATCAGAGGAATCTACAATCTCAATGTACAGTATATTTACCTGTGCAATTAACGCCGAAATACTTTGGCGAGCAGATACATCGGAAGGATCCTTTGGTGTTGTGGCATATGAAGCTGCCGTTACAGTTGTGTTTTCCTGTTACACACTCGTTTACGTCTGCAAAACAGAGGTGCATGCTACTATTCAGTTTGCGTTTAATTCTGAATAGTCATTTTCGCCCACAAAAGGAATACTGAGAAACTATGGAGCAGTTTTCATATCAAAAATACTATTCACTGTGCAGATTCAATTATGTCTGCTTGTCATTCAGTTATGTCCGTTTGTTATTCAATTGTCTTCTTGTCATTCAATTATGTCCGTTTGTCTTTCAATTACGTCTTCTTGTCATTCAATTACTATATCTCATCATGCCTGCTTGACATTCAATTATGTTAGGCCTACTCTGGGACCTTAACTCGCCGCGAGATTGTGCGAGCTAATGCGAGTTTAGGCGAGTTAAGGCGAGATAAGGAAAAATTGACCTCGCCTATCAGTTGCGAGTTTGTGCGAGTTAAGGCGAGTTAAGGGAAAATGATCCATCTTATGTTGAGGTTATAAGGCTTAAAACTTATAATAGGCTTTAGTAACATACATATAAAGATGCCTTGGAATCTTTGTATGTCTTATATATATGGTAGGCTCCATGTTGTCCAATTACGAAAAAATTAAACCAAAAATTTCAGATGAGCTCCAAAGTTGAATGAAGCCAAATCTTGTTTAAATTTATTAACTGAAATATTTTCCTAATTGGACAAGCTTAAGTATGGATATGCTAGTGATATGGAGTCCTGTTCTTTATTAATTATATAGCATTCAGACTCCAAACTAAACCATTTGGTGGCTGTATCATAATAATAATCATTGTCATCATCATATATTATTTATTAAAGCTATATAATTCTACCTGGAGTTATGAAAACCGGGTTAGCAAACATTTTGTAATTTTTCTCAACTTCTGCTGTCTAATAGCTTGTTTACTGTGTTGTTTGCTTATGTCGTTTGTTTTTTGGCTTGTCTTATGGTTAGAGATTTGCGTACAAGTGGCTGTAGACAGAATTACTATCTAACCCCCCTCCATTTTTTTCCCTACCCACAATTCTTTCTTTAACACAAGTGACAGTTATCAGTTTGAAATCAGCGGGCGCTTAAGGCTGGTTTTAGTGCTGTTTAGCAGTTAAGTTTTATATATTGGTCACCTTGAGAAAAGTTTCCCGGAGAGCATCATGTAAAGCTCTGAGATGGGACAAAGTTATTACGATTCGCAGAGTCTGCATCGTCCAATATCGTATTATATTCTCGTTTCATTTGGCTAAACGGATTAATCTCCCTGATCCGGGCTGAGACAGAAAGGTACGATATTGTTCGCTTTTCTAAGGTGACCACTAAGTCTTTGGCCTCGGGAACAGGCTCTTAGGAGTCAAATTAATTAGTTGAGAGGAAAATTGCAGCTGAACTTTGACCCGGGCCAAGACTTAGTATTTTTCTGGTGTGAAAACAAGGCTAAGGTGATCCGCCGACCGTGTGACTCTACATCCGGGAACTTGAATAAGACGAGTGTAAGAGAAAGGTCCAGAGGTGTTTATCTGGCAATAGGCTGAGTTTTTCCGAGTTATTCGATGATATTTCGCTTATGTTAAACGTGAGAAGATTATGCGTGGTTGTGGATAGTCTTATCAGTGCCGCAAAAGTGTGTGATTGTGTGATTTCCGCATGGTGTTGACAGGTATGTGATTGCGTGGTTGAACTGCGGTTTCGCCAAAATATTCTGTGCCAGCCATTAATATTGTTTCGTCGGTGTTTAGCTTAGCTGATTGTACCTTGGAAAAGCAACTCTCGACTCAGGAAAATTAGATCTAGGTCTAGTTTCAGCAGGCTCTAATGGCATTGCACCATAGGCCGGTTTTTGCAGACAAGAAGGTGATAATTTGTACACTATGTTTCATTCAGTTTGTAGTCTATTCCATGCGGAATCCTGTTGTTTATCGGACCGCCCAAAAAGTAGTGTTTTGCTAACTATTTAAGTTGTTATGTAAGCCTTAACCAGGCACTCTTTCGCTGCAGCTCACTCAACTTAAAAATTTCTAGACTGAAATGACACCGGTTTGAAACTTCGCGAAGTCAGTTTACTGAATAAATGTTCTAAAATTTGCGTCATTCTAAATTTGGACTCGTTGGAATGCTTCTAGGGACCATTAACGCACTGCCCGGCGTCATATAAAGGCTTTTAATCGGCCTTTGAATGAGTTTTGTTGTTTTAAATTACCAAGTAGTAGAATGACTTGATATTTTTGCTAACCCGGTTTTCAAAAATCCAGGTATAATTATTTGGCAAAGTAATAAATTACCAGTAGTGAGGAAAAAAAATGAAAACAAAACAATCATGAATTGATAAAAAAAATGTAGCTGTAGTATAAGCACAGGTAGGATATTTTATTTTATTTTATTTATTTTTTTAAATCAATAACACTATGTTTTAATAGGCAGGTGAGCATAATAGGTATCACATGACTTGTCATCATTTGTTATCACTAACTTCCCTTTATGGAGTAATTGTGAAATTACACTGACAATAGGATGAGATATTAAAATTGGTACCCACTTGGCAGTGGCGAGATTGGGCGAGTTTGTGCGAGATAATGCGAGTTTAGGCGAGTTAAGGCGAGATAAGGAAATTTGAACATAATCTCAAGTTGCGAGTTAGGGCGAGTTAAGGCGAGTTAAGGTCCCAGAGTAGGCCTTTTATTTCGTTGGAAGAACAACATGAAAATTTTGTAGAAAATAAGAAATGCTAGTGGCCACCAAATGCAAGGTGAAAATGAGCGCCAGTGAAAAAAAAAAGTGAACAAGGACGACACGTACGACACTTCCTCCATAGAACGTGAAACCAGTTGTAACCAGGGGCCCGTTTCTCGAAAGTCCCGGTAACTTAACGGGCCCGGAATCATATTTTTAAATCAAAGTCTCAAGAAAAGTAGGGTGTGTTCTGACCTCTAATGAAGTCCGTTTTGTTTCGTTAGCTAATAACTCTACTGTATAATTTTCAAAACTTTTAAAACTTCCTTCTAAAATGGCAAACAAAACAGCTTAACGGGCCCGGTAATTACCGGGAGCTTCGAGAAACGGACCCCAGGAAGTTTCTGAAAGTGTCACGTTGTAGTCGTGCAAAACAACGGCAAAGAAATGTACAAAAAAGGTGTGCTGCACGTGCAAAGTTGCTTTTTTGCTAATTAGACCAATTGTAACAATTGTTTTTCACCGTTCTAGTCTCCTTCGCCGCTTAGCATTAATTACACTTTTTTTTTTAATTTGTTTGAGGAAACTATTATCGAGAGATTCGCTTTTTGCCCTGGTTAAATCTATATATCCTGCGAACAGGTTTACTTGTTAGAGTGTGGGGTTGTTTTGGCGGTGGAGCTACCAGCGCTAGCTGGCGGCAAAAAGAATGGGACGGAGAAAAGCGAGCCTGCAGACGGGCTATTTATTTTTTAATTTCGCTCCCTTAAGAGGCCCTGCGCCTAAGAAACGACCGATGATTTCCGGCTAAAAAATAAAATCGGCCGATTTTTATCTCCCAAGTAGAGGTTACCGAATACTATTCAAAAATGAATTTCTTTTGTTTCAGTTTCGCTTTAAACCAAAAATATCGAGCCGCAAACTTTTTCCGTCTGATAGCAGCAAAATCAGGCCTAAAATAAGCCCTCGCAAAAAACGGTTCAGAAATCACTATCGCAACGCAAAATAGCGAGAAAACCACACGGTGATGAAGAAAAAGGCCTTTTAATGCAATATCATTCGATAAACATCGAAAAATTGCCGAAGGGAATAAAAAATAAATTTTCAAATACTGCATATTAAATTAGATGGAGCGTTGGAGTTGATTTTAAAACAATAATTTCTCAAAAGTCCAACGCTGCTGAAAGCAATCACAGTGATGAATTAGACATTGAAGGGATATACATCACGTTTTCGGAAAAACATTTTTCGGCCAAAGTATACTGACGTTGTAAAAACCGTTCAAAGTTACCGTATTTACCGTTAAGTTGCCACTTCGGCGAAACACTTCTCTGTTGCCAATATGGCCAAGGATAGCGTGGTAAACGCCACTTTAAGCCTTGCTAGGCGCTCAAAACCATCCTAAATAGAATTATATAGAATTAAAAGAGAAAGGAAAATGAAAGATTCGCAGAAAAAGAGAATAATTCGAAATTACCATCTGCTAAGGAGAGTTGAATCTTGGAAATGTTGTCGCGTGACAGCGTTCATTTGTCCGAACTGCAGCGGGATCCAAACAAATACGTAAAATATAAGTTCAAAAAAAAAAAAAAAGTCTTTCTATCACCAGAAATCGTGAAGTGAAACAGTTTTATGTTTTTCCTATTAATGATGGTGAATTCAGCCTCAGCTAGTCTCCAAGTACTTTGAAGGTGGGCTGCTTGTATTTCGTTACATACATTCCAACGGACGTTACGGGTCAGCGCGTGTAGGGGTCAGCGGACCTGAAGAAAGGTGACGAAGTTGGAGAGCAACGCCATGCTAGGGGGGACATTGGTAGGTACCCAATACCGAAAATAAATGCAGTATCGGTATTTCGTCGATTTTTGACACGGTATTTCGGTATTTACCAATTTTTCTCACGGTATTGCGGTATTTAATCAATTTAATTTAATTCAGGAGCCCATCATTGATGGGCTTTTCTGTTTAATTTTGCGAGGAAACGTGAGACGACCTCGAACTGATCGGTACAACGAACGAAAAAGATACCCTACCAATTTCATCACAGATTATCTGTCAGAAATTGTGTAATGGTAATCATTTACCATTAATCTAAAGTCTTAAAAATACTGACGTGCATTAAACTAGCCTGCGTAGCAGGCGCTTGGAAGTAGTGGGCGCGAGAGAGAACGGGCGCGCGTGAGGGAGACACGCGAGGGGTCATCCAAACGCCTGCTACGCAGGCTAGCATGAAACAGGAGAGGGCAATGAACAGTACCGCAATACCGTGATCTTCTTTTACCGAAGTCCGTTAACCAAAAGGAAGAAATACCGCATACCGCAGGGCTAAATGATATTACCGCAATACCCCACTTTAAAATCCAAATTACCGAAATACCGCATGAAAAAAAGCTCAATACCGTAAGCCCCCATTTCCCCCTCCATGCTGTTGAAGAGGTGACAGAATATTTGGGCTTAAAACATCCAATTATATTTGATGTTTACAATCTTTGTCATAATTATCACAGCAACAAACTTTCATCTTTCAATGTTAGTGTTGAAAGACATGTGCGGGTATTTCGAAATACCTTACAAATCTACAGATCTAAAAAGAGACCTTTTAGCCAAGGTTTCAGTGTAAAGGAATGTGACTGAGTGCAGCAAAAAATAATTTCATTCTGTAACTTTCCTGCGCAAGAGTCTGAGTGCATGGTATGCTGTCCAATCGGTAATGTGACAAGTTGTGCGTTGTGCATTGGTTATCATCTAAATATCATAAATATTATTGTGGAAACAAATTATGAAGCATATTATAAAATGAAGTTGCAAAATGAGTGAGGCACTTTCATCGATTTAAAAGTCCCACCGGTCTTCTACATTTTTTTATGATGTCCTCTCCAATATTATATTTGGGTGACCCTATTTGGCGGAATGGCGGAATACATGCAATCAGTTGTAAAATACGGAATATACGTAATACTCTAAAACACTGAATTTACAGAATATTCTGTATTTGATTTGAACTGGACTGACAAAAAGCAGAGGCAATATTAAAAATTCAATTTTCGTACTGCCTTAAGCCACACTATAGACCTTATGACGGTTTTGAAAGCCATCTTGACGGATGAAGGTTCCGGTATCACGGGAATCTAATGTCGGATAACTTTCATAAAACGGCTGTTCTAAAAAAAAAGAATTGTAAACTTAAGCGTGACAGGATTGTACTACCAATTAATGGGGGCCGCACCTGTGCCTAAATTTGTCCGGTCGCTTGCTTTAGATTTTCCAGAGTCTTCAAAGTCTTCAAAGGAATGATCTCGTCTTCAAATTTTGTGGAGATTGTTCGGCTGGTCGTTCTGGCGAGGAAGGATCCAGGGACAATAAGTCCGTTTTCCAGTCTCCTTGATCCATTACCTTAATCGACTTGCACTTTGTTTTGACTGCGAGCTTTTTTAAGAAAGGTGAATATAAGGAAGGAAAGTTCCATCGACAAAGT